CCAAACTTATTGCCTTCTTTGCTCACAAATATGTGGAATTCAAAAAGGCGATTTATTTTAATTTTATAGCTCCATTGTAAACTCAGTATCCGCATCTATTCTATTTGTTAGCTCAATAAATTCCCCTAAACTATCTTTGCCGCATATATGAAGACGAAGATGGTGTGGCCTTTTGTGTGGTCGCAGTCTCCTTACGTTATACAGAATTTGTTTGATCTTGTTTTCTCAGCTTGGTCATAATGATAGAAAGACTTAGAGGAACGCACCTAGTCCAGAGTCCATTGTATGCATGATCATTTACAAAGTCTGACCGTGGACGTTTTGCCGGCATCGTAGTCGGCATCATCAGTGATTCTTGCCATTCTTAGCACCACACTACAACTCGTCCAAAGAGTCAAGTGAAGTCGATCCTTTGACCAAACGTGTGTTAAACAGTTGTGGTAGCCCTCTTTCTGTCCTGGGCTATTCACCTTTCCTACATCCTCGTATCACGCCTTCATTATCACAAATATTGGAACGCATTGCATGAGCAGGCCACGAAATGGACTGAAAGGCTGGCTGGATATGTTGAAAATACGAGAAAACGCAAGATCCGAGAGGCCATCGATATAGTGACTGAGAGAAATCGAATGAACAGGATACTTGAAGAAGGCAGGATCAGCGAAAACTTTGCATATTGCTTAAACAAACTGGGAGAAGACCAGACAACAGTAAGATCAGCAAAAAGAAGACGATTGGATCAAGGTAGCATCCATAATTATAGGAAAAGAAATCGCAAGGCGACCAGAAAGGAACAATCAGAAGCCAAAATGAAACGTCTTCAGTGAGCCTAATCAAAACAAGTAGAACCACAACATTTGTGGGTTGGCAGACAAGAGACTATGACATAAGAGGTGATAGGCGCGGTATTAGAGATAGAAACAGGATAGACGCAGTGGTGACTAGAGCTAGTTGGCTGATAGTAGGCCTGTTTTATCATAGACGTGGGCCATGACTATGAGAGTTACTCGGGCTTTTTAGCCTCAAGTTAGTCTAGCAGACACAGAGTGTGGGAAAGAGCGAAGGGGGTGTGAACGCCAGCGTGGAGTGTGGAGGGTTGTCATGATAGACGCTCAAAAGGGCACACCACACTCCATTTAAATAAGCAAGAAAAGGCGTAATATGAGGATATAGGATAGGTGAATAGCCCATGACAGGAGAGATATAACAACTGTTTAGCACACATTTGGTCAAAGGATCGGCTTCACTTGTCTCTTTGACGAGTTGTAGTGTGGT